TGTGTCCTTCTATGATTGTGTAAGGATCTCCTGCTAGTGCAGGGGGTTGAACGGGGGTTGGACTAGAGGACCTCCATGGTCCCTTCCAACTGTGTCCTTCTATGATTGTGTAAGGATCTCCTGCTAGTGCAGGGGGTTGAACGGGGGTTGGACTAGAGGACCTCCATGGTCCCTTCCAAGTATCCTGGTGTCCCACTTAACGACTGTTACAACGTCCCCACAGTCAGGCGATCCCAATTTGAACAACTGGCAGCTTGACTCGTGTTTATGACGATCTTGCAAGTATCCCAGTGTCCCGCGATCCCCTTTTGCGATCTTCTGACAAGCAAATTCAATATGGAAGCCAGATTCACTTAACAACTGTGCTAACTAAACCACTGCAGGGATTCAGTAGTTGAAGCGTTGTAAAATGGGACCAAACTCACTCCACTGTCTCACTCAGCAACAGAAACATCGGCTTCCGTTGCTGCCGTAAGTTGAGGACCACCCGCGAGCCTATTTTCAGCTGTGTAATTTTTGATATTTGAAGCTTGTTTGATAAATTGTGGGAGAGGTGGACGGCATCACAGTTGAATGCACAACCAATGTTGCCGGGATCTCTTGCATCGAGGATTGTGTAGTTGTGAAGCAAAGCCAAGAGACTTGTGTGCTTGAGGCAACTCTCTACTTGAGGTTTATTCAAGGTTTAATCGAGGTTTACTCATTGTCCACTCCAGGGCGCCATCAACCTTCCAATGGAGCAAGACGTGGAAGAATTTCTCCTGAAAAAACCCCTGGTGTCCTCCAGCAACAAGCGCATCATTGTCGTGTTCCACTGCGAGTTCTCCTCTGAGCGGGCCCCCCGAATGTAAGTATCCTGAAGACCATGCTCCCCAGCCTTCTGGACTTGCTGGTTTGGGGCTTTGGATGAGCCAAGGGAAAGGGTGGGTCTCTCTGTATTCATTTGGCTCCTGCGTCTTTAATTCGGTCCGTTCCCTCCTGCTCCCGTTCCTCAACTCGATTTCCCAATCTGGCCTGATGCCGTTACCTAGTGTGGTGATGAGACGTCTGCAAGGAAGTGACCGAGCTCTACGGAGCACCGAGGAGCCTCCCATTTTGGGGGAGGGGGTGTTAATTTCCATGTTTTTCATTTTTTTTCTCCAATTAGCCATTGGCTAATTGGGAGTTGAGTACTATATACATTTTGTAAATACAGCAGTTCATTTAATGACCAAACCCTCTTCTTCCTGGGACCAAATCCTCATCTTCCTCCTCCCCCCCTCTTCCTTATCTTCCTCCAAATTCTTCCTCTTATTCCTTCTCTTTTCCTCTTTCTCCTCTACTCCCTTCCTCCTTGTTTTCCTCTTCTTCCTCCTGTGCCTCCTTTTGTTTCTCCCTCCTCCTATTCCTCCTATTCTTCCATCATTTTCTCCTTCCCTTCTCTACCTTTTTGTCATCTTCTCATCTCTTCCTCCTCTACTACTTCTTTTACCCTCCTCCTTTCTTCCTCCTCTTCTTCCTCCTCCTCCTCCCAGGTGCCGATTTGTCAGAGAAAGGGACCGGCTGGACAACCAGTATCCTGCCCTGCACTACCCAGAGCTCTACATCCTCAAAGGTGGCTACAAGGACTTCTTCCTCAAATGCAAGGTAAATGCCACAACACACACACACACACACACACACACACACACACACACACACACA